AAAAGTTTAGCGCGTCAAGAGGGGTCGCCCGCAAATTATATATATTTCAACCCTTGGCTGCTGAGGAAATTCAGCAGCTTTTCTCTCAGTTTCGTGCGGAATAATGTGTTGTTTCATCGCGAAATAAATTCCAGCAGAGCGCGGCACCGTGTTTGTTTTGTTTGCGTTTTCTCTCTCGCACGCACACACATCATTTCGAAAACCACAATGCGCCGCTCGCTTGCTGCCAAAAATGCCCGCGCTATGCAAAATATAAACACATTCACACGCGCGCTTTCGCTTCAAATGAAATTTCATGCAGCTCTGCTCCCGCAGTTTGCATACATGCATATTAATTTGTTTGCACCAAGGTGAGAGAGAGAGAGAAAGAGAATTAAAGAGGATTTGTAACTCGAAATTTGGCACCCATTCAACCAACACCAACAGACAAGAAGATGCACAGAAATTAATTTACCCAAATTTAAAGTTGACTTTTAAATAGAATTAGAGCAAAAAATTTCTAAATTTTTATAATGGAAATTCACATTTTAAGCAGTGATTATAAAAAAAAAATAACGATGGCTAATAAAAATATTGTTAATATCTTAATACCTTTACTTTTCAGTTTTTCATTTTTATTTTTTTATTGTTTTTTTTTTTACTTATTTTCTATTTTTAATCAAAGATGAATCAAAACTCATAATGATAAAATTCTTCGTTATAGTCTGATGTGTTATGGAATAAATTAAACTTCATCTTCAGAGTTTTGAAGGAAATTATGAACTGCATGGCGGACGATTTTTTGAATCGAAGGTCCGGGGAGGCGGCGACATTGATTTTCTGCGAGTGAGTGCGCCGTATTTATTTACTGTTATATGGGGAGTAGTGTAATTTCGCAGCCTCTCTTTTCAGCGAAGTGAGTCATTGAGTCATCATGAAACCACCTGGGACCTAGCTTGGCGGCACCGCCACTGCACAACGCGTTCCACTGGCACTGAATGTACTGCGCGCTGATGATTTCTCCCTTCGCTCCTGTATAGTTTTATATAAGATAAACCCTCCCTTTAATATTCTATGACTGTGCGCCCTTAAATCATGCTTCTGCGCGGCCAAAGTGCTCATAAATATTTGAGGGAGAATCGAAAAATGGTTCGTATGGAGAAGATAAAAATAGCAAAAGTTCCTGTTCGAGAACAGACAAAGGCAAAAATTCGCTCTGCTGCGGCAAAGGGCAATTTTTGTAAAATGTAAATTCAAAGTTTTTGCTATTTTATTTCTTCAATCAAGCTCTCAGTAGATAGAAATTTGATTAGCAAAATGCGTAATATAGAAATGTAATCAATTAACAAAATTTGATTTCACCGTTTTTTTTTTACTTCTTCAAAAATTCACGTCAGCAAAATACAGACTATCGTATTTTTTTTTTACTATTATTTTGATTAATTCGCCACCCTAACGAGGGTAGCCAAGCGAGACTGATTTAATTCGCTCAATCACAGAATTAACTGCTTAATTCTGCTGTGGAGATTCGCAGGCGCGAGTTGAGCATCGCGATTTAAATTCGATTCGTGTGCGGCTGGTTGGTTTGCTAAACGAATCTTCTCAACCTAATGATATAAAAATGAGAGAGAGCGGCGCTTTATTATCGAGTGGCAGAACTAATTTCGCCTTCATCAAGACTGCTGGCTGAGAGAGAAATATAATTAGTTCTCCCCCTTTTCCATTCATCGGCTTATTAATATCGCAACCACGCCGACTTGGTTAGAGAGCAAAAGTGAGGAACGAGTGGGATGATCGAATCATGCTACCACAAATTTGGCTGCGCATGATGCAAAATTTCGTATATCAGTCAATTTTCCTCTACAGCAATCGTTCCTAATCAAATTTCATTACCAATGATTTCATTTAAAAGCTTTAAAATTGTTGGCAAAAATTTTGATGCACTAAATGTACAAAGAAACAAGAAGATTAAAATAAAAAATAGTTATTCAAAATTACTTTTATATTTTTGAAACAATTAAATATTTCTATAAATAATTTTCATTGATATATTTTTTTTTAATTAAAATTATTGAGAATTTTTATCAATCCTTTCCTATGTATTTCATGATGAAAACACTTTTAAGAAAATTAAATCGTTTTTTCGGTAGAGAAGCGCAGCTATAGGTTATCGCAGTGAGTGGATCATTTCGTTTTACACGGCGCGCATACACGGGCGGATGATGCAATTAGAATGATGGCCTGCCGTGGAATAACACGCGATCTCTTACACCACAATGCACGCGCGCACTGGCGAGAGGGTCGGTCGGTCGGTCGGACACTTGGCACGAGAGCCCTTTCCAGCATGACATGTTGCTCAAATTTTGTATTACGCTGCTGCTCTCTCGTCGAAATATGGAAATTTACAGATTAATTTGCTAATTGCGCGCCCCTTGTTTCAAAATGAGCTAAACAAAAATACATGCATTCGACCTTTTATATTTTTTATTATTATATTTTTTTTTTCATTTTATCGAAAGCTGCAGAGTGATGTAGGAAAGGCTCATTGAAAAACGGAGAGGGATTTTATTCAAATAAAAGAAAATGATTGAAAAAGAGAGAGTAATTAGCATGATCGCGAGGTAGGGGTCCTGCGGAAAGTCTCCTGCCGATTTTTGTTTTGTGTTCGCGGTCTGCGTGAAAGCCGTTGATTAGCTGATGACGTTTGTCGCCCCAGGATGTCACAATGAAAGCCATGAATTCTGCATAAAACCGACGCTTATTTAAATAAAATAAATCATAATAAAGTTTAGTAAAATCAATGGAAATCTATTAAACTTTTTACGAATTAAAAATTTTGTTATGCTATAATTTAAGATTTTAAGGCACCACTATAAAAGCAAAATTTGTGATAAGCTTGAAAGATCCAAATGTGAAAATTTTTACTTTAGAAAATAGACAATAATTGAATGAGATTTAAATTTTTTCTCCAAATATCAATCTAGTTGAAAATGAATCAATCTAGAATTTGCAACCAAAACATAAATATGCGCAAAGCTATGATATCAGAGACGTTATGAAAAATTGATGATTAAAAAAAGGAAAAGCCAACTTAAAATTTAATCATTTAGAATCAGCATATTTTTTATGCCTTTGCAAACCTTTTGTTTTAAATAACAGATAAAAATTGATTTTTATTTTAGCAGCAAAATGAAATAGGAGAGAGCTAAGCACAAAAATTGCCATCATGACTTGCAGCCGTAATATTAAAGAAGTTAATTTTGTCGGGAGCATTTCGTTTGGCTGCTCGGCCGATTTCATTGAGTCGAAGAATAAGACGGAGGAGCTGAAGAAATGAAGAGAGAGCAGAAAAAGCGTTCTCTGTCGGTCGTCTTGGCTGTCTGCTGTGTGTGTTATGCAGTGCGGGCGGGCGGGAGGGCGAGCGAGTCCCTCGCTGCTGCTTACTTCCCTTGCGACGGTGCTCAAACCCCAGGGGAAGCCATTTTGTGTCGTCAGGACCAAGGGATGAGACCCAAGAGAGTTAGAAATTTAGGTAACACGTACGCCGAGTAATCGTGCCGTGTTTTGGCCCTCCCGGCCGGCCCGCTGAAAAAACCCTCGAATTTGCCAAATTCGCGATGGCCCTGATATTGTCGGCGAACAGATTGGGGTCGGCCAAACGGCCCCGTGGATCGCCTACGTGCACCGCCCTTGCTTTCGGCCGATGTCAGAATTATATAGAAAAACTCCAGTGGAGAGACGGGCCACGGAGAGCGAAAACTGCGGCTCTTTTTCTCTCCCCCGTCGTATTTGGTATTAGGCTCGTCCCTGCTCTCGTCTTTTCTGCGTGCGGACAAAATCCGGAGACCCTCTCTTCCTAATGGCATTGCTAATTAATTTACTTTTCTCTCTGCTGCAACAAAGAGGCTTTTTCCGCACTTAATTTGCGATAAAATTGATGTGCATTCCGAAAAAGCTGCCTGCAAAATAGCAAGTGAAAAATACAAAATAACTATGGTAAAAGCTAAAAATTCTTTAACAAAAGCGTTTAACATCTAACTTTACCAAGACTTTAAGTACGATTTTCCTTGAAATAAAATTTCAAAATTTTTTGATTATTTGAATTTTGGATTAATTAAAAATATCGATGGTCAATTTTGAATTATTATTAAACATGCATCGAAGAAGGGTCTAGAATAAGTAAATATTATTAGTTCAAGTTTAATGTATTCACAAATAATACTTAATGAATCATATTACTATGAGCTTTGTTAATAACAAGGTTGTTGAGAGTATTTAAAAATATGTATTGAATTAAAACTATACTGCCAAAATTTACAAATCTTTGATGCGTGAAATTTAATTATTGAGTAAAAACAAAACAAAACAAAAAACTCTATTAAAAATTTAAAATAAAATGTATTGTATTTATTATATTTAATTTAATATGACATTTATAAAAGTTTAATGTAATGTTTTTATTAACTAGCAATAAAAAGATAAAAAGAATTAAAATTTAAATAGATTTTAATTATTTAGTATTTTTCTTTTAAATTTTTTTAAACATTTTGTCTTTAGCAATTTTCCTCATCAAAATAAATTCTCCTTAAGATAAGATGGAGTGTCAAAGAGTTTTGTTGAGGATCTGCCTCATTGATGGTCGGTCCACGCACAGCACGGCTCGCCAGTCGCGATGTGAAGTGGAAAATAAGCGTCGGGCGACTTTTGACTGGCAATTGACCTGCCCTCGTCGCGCCACCGATAATGCGATTCCGTGCTGCAAAGGGACGGCGTACCTAATGGTCGGCGTCGATAAATAAAAAATAAGGAGCCGGTGGGTTTTTCTTTTTTTTTTTATCTCGGCACAGGCGAGAATTAGATTCGGAGTGTCGTCGGTGCCCTTTTTAGATCCAATCAGCGCGGCACGGCAGATTGCGATAAATTTTACGCGCCGCGCCATTAGCAGCGTCCGGCCAATAAACCGAACGGCGTGTTTATTGAACAGAATTGTACGGAAGAAAAGAACACACAACGTGACTTACCTGTCAATGATGACCGGGTCAGACGGCGTCTCGTTGCGGTTGCCGCAGCTCTTCTTGTCGCAACAACGACTGTGAACAAATCAAACTTTATTCAACACACTGCAATGTGGCGTTTATTATTTATCTGGCATGCTGTGTTGTTGACATTGGATTATGGAAAGAAAAAACTGCAGTATCGTTTTTATAGAAACCGTCTTGTGATGATGTGGGAAGAGGAAATTCATTTATAAATATAAATACTTGAGTCTTTCATTTGATGAAAATATTTAATTTTGAATAATTTTTTAATATGTTTATTAAATAAAGAATTATACTTTCTTGAAAGTTATTCAAGAGTACGTGGAAATATGTAATATTGACCAAAATTTAAATAATGGAGATGAAGAGATTTTGCTTTTCCTTGTTGCGAATTTTGTATTTATTCAAAAACAAATGACTCTATATACTAGTTTTGTCACGGTCTGCAACCATATTTCATTAGCAAGAAAAATACAAAAAATTAGCAAAATTGAAAAACAAAACACATTTTAACATCAAAAATTCAAATCTTAAAAGTAACAAATTCCAAAATATGTTGGTACTTGAATTTTTTAGTTAGAAGATTTTGATTTTTATGTTAAAATGTTTGTTTGTTTGTTTTTTTTTTTTAAATTTTGTTCATTTTTTTCTTGCACATTACATAGGGTTGACCGTGACCGAAACTGGTAGAGCCATTTGTTTTTGAATAAAAACAATTTTCACACCGAGGAAAAGCCCGATCTCTTTATTTCCAAAATTTAAATAAAATTCCGTTTTTGGGGGATGATATAGATTTTTTGTAAAATGGATTAATTTTTAAAATAAATGTATATAATTTTCTTTTTCCAAGAAGTCTATTTCAATTTGAAAATCAATTATGTAAAAAAATTCATAAGTTTTGCCAGTGCAGCTTTGCTAAAGTAAAAAGTTTAAAAACATATTTTATTCTAGTTGCTCTTGTTGAAAAGGGTTGAAGAAAAAAGGTTGTTCAAATTGCACATTTTTGCTTGTCAAGTCGCTCTTTTTCATAAAGGCGAGCCGTGTTTGCACGAGGTGAAACGCCCGAGGCCACTTGAAAGTCGATTACCGCGACAGATGCCAACCAGAGATAAGAGAGAAAAGAATCTCTGAGCTTGCGGCGGCCGCGCGGGTTAATGAGATGCGCTATTTAGCCAACGTGTGCGTTCCTGCGATTACAAACAGCGTCTGCGAGAAAATAAATAAAATATGTGTACGGACGAAAAGTGCAAAAAAAAAAATGCACTGGACGGTTTTATTTGAATGTGTAAACAAAATGCGGTTGGAATTCAAAATAATTGTTTTTACCTGCACATGACTTCGTGCGTCAAGAGCACTCTGCACATCTCTGGGTTTTTGTCCTGCCCTTCGTATATGATGGCCTGAAACAAAAAGAAAGACTCGGTTTAATTCGGCGGAAAATTCATTTCTTCATTCTTTCGCAAGGACAAAGAAGGAGAGTCATTAAAACTGCAAGCGCTTTTTTCCGTCTGAATTAAATTTAATGAAATTTCCAGCGGGGCTGTGGCGTGCTAATGTCAATATATTTAATGCAACACTTTTTCCTCCCATTTATATACTTGTAATATACACATTGTTGTGTGCTCTTCATGAAATTTTTCTGCCTCAAGACCTTAGGTCTTTTCCTTATTCCCTTGACAGCGGGAAAGGCAATAAAAGCCAACATGACGGCCTTAATTTGAGCCACCGTGCGCCTCGCTAAGAAGCACAAAATGAAAAAGAAAAGAAGCAGGAAAAAATTCAGCACGAAGAAAAAAAAGTCGGAGAGAGAGAGAGAGCGAAAGAAATAATGAAAGAGACTTGCGCTGCTGACGCCGGTGGGATTGTGCAGCCGCCGAGAATTAATAAAAATTAAAGCAGCCGTTTTCAGCCCCGCTGATTCGGACGGCACGGGGTGCAAATTAAAACAACGGGACTTCCTTTCAAAAAGGGGGAAGAAACGCTAATCTTGACGTTTAGTCAAATGTAAATTAGAAATGAAATTTTTCTCATTTTTTACTTCCAAAATGAAAATAAATAATAAATTTTAATTGTTGAAAAAAAATAGACCAAAATTTTAGAGTGCGTGTTGGAATTTACAGGGGGTGCAAATTGAAAACGAATGAACGAAAATCGGAGGGCAAAACCAACAACTTCCGCCTCTGCTCATCCGGTCCGCGGGTAACAACAAAACTCCTCCCCCGGTGGCTATTTACATTTATTTTATATATATAATGTTGCGTGTACGCGATCGTGCACTCCAATCTAGTCGGCACGTGGCCGCGTGATTGGCAAGCCACGTGTCGCACCACCCATCCCCTTAAATGATCATCAGCATCGGCGAGCGCATCTCTATCGCACAGACTCGCAGCATAATCCGCAGCCGGCAGCCGACGAGAGAAACGCAAAAGATGGGGCGTGAGAATGCGCTTTAAAAGGCTTTTATTGTAATCACGTTGTTGACACAAGGCATTAGAGCCTGATTGGATTGTGATAAATCATTTGTGTGTCGCACAGAGATGCGATTGTCTGATGCTCTTTCTGCCTCAGCTGGCCTTCAGCTTTTTGATTGTAGCAAATAAAATATTAATAAATAATAACCTTTTCCAATACACAATGAGCAAATTAATGACTTTGGCAATCATAGCATCCCTGCAAATTTGGAAACATTAAAAATTTTCTGTTTCGTAGAAGAAATTGGACAGTTTTGACTTTAAAATGCAATAAATACATATTAAAATAAATTTTTCATATAAATATTAATAATTTTTATTTATAATTTTTAAACTACATTTTGTAAAAAAAACATTTAGAAAGAATTAGTTTATTTAATTTAGGAATCACTATACAGGTTTTTTTTTGAAGTAAACAAATTTGGTTTACTGAAATAAGGAATTTATAAATTTGAAATTTACAATTACATACGCGAGTTAGAGCAATGTTTTATTTTTTATTTAAATTTTTAATTGACTAAAAAACGGAAGCGCAATTTTATTGATATGTTTCTCTAACTTTTTATACACGACTTCCTCGCATTTATTTATTCTCTACTATTTTATCTTTAAAAAGAGCAACGCCAATTAGCGGGCGCTCGCACCATGTCAAATTTCATTTCATGTGCCGTAAATCAATTTGAGTGATTCAAAGAGAGACACACAAATCTAATCACGTGTCTCGCAGCAATCGCCGTCGTTAAATTAGAACTGCGCGCATCGTAAAAAGTTTCGGGTTTCACGTTCGGAATGATTCACAATTGGCTTTCACCGAAAGAATGGGAACTTGCATGGGGGATGCAATTCGAGATCATTAAAAATGTATCAGATCGCTGCTAATTATTTTTGCTTCCCTTCTTCTTCTTCTCCTCTCTCCCTGCTTTTCTTTTTGTTTTATGTGCGAGCAGAGAGAAATGCATTATTTGAAATTATAATGGGGCCAGTGGCGGCACAGCATGTTTATCTTGATCCCTTTAAGTAGCCGCGCCCTTGCAGCACAAAACACATGAGAACAACTTTGTCGCCTCGCGCAAATGACACTGCTGGGGTGCACTTTTGCAGTGGCCACGTTCTCGGCTGGTCCACATTCGAGGGGGCAATTACGCCACCCCTCGCTCACCCCCCGCGGCAGCAAAAATAAATATGCTACCGGCGGCTTCGATCGAGCAGCACACACATGCATTATGCATTTGCTTGTAGCTGCATAATCAGACAACACAAGAGAGAGAGAAAGTGAAGCCTCTCGCGCGATGACACTTTCCAAACATTTCCGACCAGCTTAATCCGTGTTTGCAAACACGCTCTGAATGGGCTTCTTTCACAAGAAACTGCTTTTTTTTAAATTATCAAAAATTATGTACACGATACCCACGTTACTAATAATAAATAGAATATGAATCAGATATGAATAACTTATATATTATTATTTATTTCAGCGAAATTTTATTTAAAATTTACAAATCACTATATACCAATACAAAACTATATCTGCACTGATTGATGTATTCTTTAAATATATTATTAGCAATTTGCTATGAACTGGCGTATGCCATTCGGCATAAAAATATAGTATTAAATTAATGTTATTTTTAATAAATAATAAATAGTTTTCGTAATACAAAAAATGTGAAAATTATAAAAAAATTTATTTATAAATATAATTTTTATTTTTTAATAAAACCAATTAAGACTAAAATTATTTTACTTTTGAATGAACTATAAAATAGCAGTCACAATTTTTAATAATATTATTAATTTGCTTACAAAATTTAATGTAAATAATTATTGTTTAAACAAAAAAATTAAATAAGATCAAAATCTTTGGTTGCGGTGAGCTTCGATTAGCACATTTTTCTTGCTTAAAATTTCACTTTTTATTATACAATTTTGCTTTAAATTGATAAAAAAATTCTCTCTGATTACAGAAAATATAAGAAAATGTGGTGCCATGACCAGAGAGACAAAGGCTCGCGGCGGGATGCGAACGAGCGGGGGCAGATGCACCGCAAGCTGCAGGATTTGTCAGCCCATCCGTGCACTGCGGCGCGTACGTATAATAAGGGTGGTTGGTAGCCTCTCTCCCCGTCCGTGCAGTATCCCGCGTATTACGTATTCCATTAAACAAGAATCTATCAGACCTTGCGCGCACAAATCCTTTCTTAATCCTCGGGATCACCGGGATTTTGGTCCCGAAATGCTGTGCACAAGTCAGTAAATAGTACTCGCTCTTCTGTCCCTATCTCTCGTTTGTGAAATGGTGCGGCGCGCGCGGCTCTAATTGATTCTTGATAGAGCCACACTCATCCGATACTCCCACCCAACTTGTTGAATTTCAGAACTCGAAATAGTAGAAATTCGAAAGCATTAATTTTGGGCTAAATTGGAATTTGCTTCGTCGAATAAATATTACTAAAATGTGAATAAGGAAACTATAAACCAAAAGGTGATTTCTTACCTCATCAATTTTAAGATTTAAGCAATTATTAAATATTTAATTTCAGCCAAGTTAAAATAAATTTTGCTCAAATTAAATAAATGCTCTGTTTTGAATCTCAATTTTTTGGTAATGAACTTGTAAAAAATTATTTATTACTTTATAAATATATAGAGTTAATTTTCAAATTGCTCAGATACCTCTTGTGTAAAAAAGTCAAAAATTATTTGACTTCTTTATGAAAAATTTGACAAGTTATTTTAGAATTTATTTAGTTGAAAATAATTTAAATTGTGATTTTTTTTTTAACTTGATGAAAATTTTGGATTTTAGCATTGGTTGCGTTTGTAGGACGCGTGCAGCAGTGTCTGCGCAAAGCAGGGGTTGATTCGATTGCCAGGTCAATCCGCAAGGGGGATGCATGCGATGCCATGCTCGCGGCGCGAAAGTGCGCGGTGAATGAACGGCTCGAGTGGCACCTGGGGGCCATGCGGAGGCTCGTGTCGGAATGGCAGTGAGCGGAATCATCGCCACCTTTTCACACCCTGCCTCAACCGCCCTCCTGAGACTGAAAAAGTGGAGCACTCGCACCTTGGCCGCCTGCTTACTTAATAATCTCTCTGCGGCGTCATCAATTGACTGGCTTTTGTGTTGCGCCCTCGGGACTCGCCGCTCGGACAATATTTTTTGACGATACGCCCTGGCCGATAATTAGCCTAATTAATCGATCCCTTGGGAATTGGCGGCTCGCTTAAATATCCAGCTCCGTGACTCGCAATGTTGAGTCCTAAAATGAATAAAAAAAACCTTTTTTTTTTGTTGATGAAATTCAATAAGATCAAAAATATAAAGATGAGTTGAATTTAAAAACTGATTTTTCGTTGGTGAGTTTTCGTGAGTGAATCATTTTTGTTAAGTAATCTGCACCAATTTCTAAAAAATAACTATATAAAACCCTCTAGGATTTCAACTCATAACTTCGTTCATGTCTTGAAATCCTATTATATATTAGATGCTTATGAATTTGATTTTAGTTGATTATAAATATATTAACAAAACAAAAACCCAAAACCATGACAGATTGTAAGTTGTTGACATTGATTAATTATCCAGTTTGATCCCCGGCATTTATATTATAAATTTTTCATTCAATGTCATAATTTTATTGAATTAATATTATGTAATTTTAATTTTACTCTTCATGTTTGTTTGATCAAAAAAAAAATTTAAAAAATGCAAAAATTAATTTTTATAATTTAAACAATAAATATAAATAATTAATCCATGCAAAGAAATATTGCAAATAACTGTTATTATATTTTAAACTAAAATATTATCAAAAAATAAATAAATTTCATCATATTTTGAAGTTATTAAGCTTGAGCTTCTTTCTGAAGAGAGATCTGCCACAAAGCACACTAAATTGTGCGCGCTCAGTGCGATGGCGAATCTCTGGCGGCGTGCTTTGGTTTATGCGCACCACCACAAACGGGATAGAGCCAATTATCAGGGATTTATTAGGCTGCTCACTTATCCACAATGTGTGTGCCCTGTAGGCGCGGCGAGCAGCGGCCAAAATTGCGCGAGCAAACACAGCTCCATATTTCTGCCAGCCAAGCACACACACGTTGCGCCGAGCTGCCAAAATTAACGACTTGCGATAATTCGCACATTATTAAGAAAAACATTTAAAACGAGAAATCGCATCTGAAGGAAAGTATAAAAATGAAATTGAGTGTTTTAAAAAGTGTTTTTTTTATCCTTTAAATTAATTAAGATATTCTCTGATTTTCAAAATAAATCAATATTATATAAAATTATAAAAATGTTCTCATTACTAAGAATTAAAATGAAAAAACACAGTAGAGATCCACATCTATAGGGGAAAAAATAATTAAGCTAAGACGATACATAGGATTATGTATAAAATAAGAACTGCGTTTAAAAAATGCATACAAAAATTAATTAAGTTTTTATTTTAAATTTTTTTTTTTACTAAATGAGGACTCGATTTTTAAAGGGAGAAATAAATGCCTTAAAATAGAGATTTATGCAACTTCCAAGCATACATGTCGAGCAGGTTGCATATTACACATAAATTTTGGTAATTTCTGCACGAATAAACGGAACCAGAAGCATTTGAAATTCAAATAAATATTTTAAAAGCTAAGAAGATTGAATTGTTTAACAAATTACCTCCAAAATAATGATTTGATCAATTTATTTTTCTCAAAAGTAAAATTACTAAAATCTTACAATGTTTTTCAATCAATGATCTTTCGTTCGAATATGAAATTAATTAGAAATGAGTTAATTTTGCTGCAGCAATCCCATACACTTGTATGCAGTTGTTGCAGATGCGACCGCTAGATTTTAATGCCCATCCGGTTCTAATTAAAAGAGCGGCAGTCGAGCTTGTGTCTCTCTCATTACGGCGCGGTGCGATAATAAAATTCCAGCCGAGCGTGATGCAATGAGCGCCGCGCACAAATTAAGCCCGGTGCGTTGTTAAAATGAAATAATGTGCAGTTTGTTGAGCGCGCACGGCGTTTGTTTTGCGAAAAAGAGTAGGATATGCACGTCCGCGTAAATTTCGGAGCTGGCAGCTTTTCATGATGAAATAATAATATTTTTAACGCGCGCGCACTGAAACAAACGGCTGCTTTCATTAATTGCATCAAGTGGGACGGCGGGTTTGAGTGTTTTGATGACGCCGGCGGCCGAGCAAGCGAAAAGGGCCATCGCTTTGTGCAGCAGCGAGTGCGCACTCGGAGCCGAGCACATGGTGCTGTTACCTAGGCAACCCGCGTTACCACGGCGTCGCACCCCCGCGTGTCTGCACAACTCGCCAAGTACAGCCGTGGGCAAAGTCACCGCCGAAGACAAACGACACCCTCTGGTTAGCTCCATTTTGATCAGGCCGCGCCCTACTTGTGCCAATTTTCAAATTCAAACTCTGCAAAATTGTCGTCAATTGAGAATTTGATGACAGAGGCGAAATATAAGATTGTTTATAACAAATTTTATGCTTTCCGGATTCTTATTTAAGGATAATTGATTTTATTTGTATTATCGTCCAATCTTTGGGTTTGTGTTATAGGATCAACGGGCCACTACTAAGCGTTAGTATTAATTAATATTGTTATAACTTCTGTCAAGGCATATATATATAATAATTTATTTAAATTAGCTATGTTAAAACAAAAACATAATATGTCGCAATATAAAAAATTTTATTTGAATTAACAAAATATTTTTTTTTAATTTTATAATTTAAAATTGATAAATATATGGTTATTTACACATATAAATTAAAATAGGAATGAGTTTTGTTAAATAATTTGGTATTTAATGCAAGTTAATATTTTTTTCCTTTTTTTTTAATTTATTGTTTTTCTATTTGATGATTAATTTGTTGTTTGTATGAAATTGAATTGATAATATATTTAGGTAGAGAATTCCTGCTACTATGTCAAATAAATTTTTTGAAACTGAATTGAATGTATTTAATTGCAACATCCAATTAAAAAAAAAAACAATTCGCCAAACAGATATTTCAAATTAAGAGAAAATTATCTGTAGTCTTTCCATAATTTGATATTTTATGTAATTGTATTATGAATTTTTGGAAGTCATAGAATTTAATTATTTTAATCAGCATGCACTTGGATTTTAAATTTAAAGTCCATAGAAAAACATTTCAAAATAAGTTGGAACTTAAGCTCATTTCAGCTATGTTGATGCTGACAAAAAAAAGGAGGAGAAAAAAACCGAGTCGCAATGCGTGTGCGAGCCATTAAAATGCAATATCGGTTGCATAATTTATAAAGCTGTCAAGATGCAGCGTCGACCATCTGTCCCCTGAATCATCTGCAACCACTTTGCCGCACGCGCCACTTCCAGCTGCGAAATTCGCTGCGATGTTTTGTCTGCGTTCGCCGCGGCAAATCTCATTATTAGCGGGCTTTGATTCGGCAGAAGCGGCTGTCACTTCGGCTAAATCATTCCGACTCAACGCCCGGCCGAATGTGCATCATTTTTCGACTCTCTCTCTCTCTCATGGTGAAGCGCGCGGGCAGCTTCTGATCTTAATCTGAAAGGGGCCAGAATAATGCGCTTCCCCAACTAGCTATTTCCTTCTATTATGCTGCTTATCTTAAGCCGCCATGTAAATATAGTGGTCTCGTGTGCGCCGCACCAACGGCATAAGGGGTGCATGCGAAATTGTTATCAGACGGCAGATTTTTCTAATGGACCGTATCTGCGCATCACCCAGCTCTCTTTTCCGCATCCACACAAATAACATCCCATTTTAAAAGGCAACAACTTTTCGTCTCTATAATAAATATGTGCATCAAATTCAAATTTTTTTCTAATGGGAGTTTCGCCAAAAGAAAATTAATATCAGTCTGATTGATTTATTTAAAATTAAGGAAAAAAATAGAAAATGAAACCCTTAATTTACACTGTTTTTCCAATTAAGTAGAATTTTAAAAATTCAAATATTAAAAAAATTCTTCGCAGAAAAAAAGACAACAAATTTGAAACCAACATTAATTGGAGACAGATTTTTATTTCATCTTGTTGTTTTTTGTTTTTGCAGATTATATGCTATAAAATTACAGATCTAAGAGAGGCGAAAATTAAATGAATTAAATCATGGGCTGTTTTTTATTTTTTTGTAAAACGCTAAAAAGCGGGGTCGCATTTTCGTCTTTGGCTTGTGCCACGAGCGGCAGGATTTTTATATGAATTTTTATAAGGCACGCAATGATGACGTAGCCTTCTGTGTGTGTGTGGTGCTGGTAAGAATGGACGCAGTTTAGTAAAGAGGAGCTCTGGGGCTGCTGCAATGGCATCGATTCTCTCTAGAGACCACCTCCTCCGGAAACATGGCTTATTAACCCAACAGGTAACTCAACTCGCAACTCGACGCGCTTCCAGTTTATCTCTTTCAACTCCTTTTTCTTGCGCCTCGAAACCTCACTAAGTGAAACAAATTCAACTTTCTAATAAATCCTTTAAATTATATTTACAAGAACTAAAATAAATAAGTTAAAAAAGTTGCCCATTTAAAATAAAAACAACAAAAATACTTTAAGATTCAAAACAAATTTTTACATTTGTTTCCTTTAAACTAAAAATATGTTCATTGAAAAAAAATCAAAAAATTTTGAAGTGAGAATTGGCTGTTTGCGCGGCGCGAGCGAATCGCCTTTGTACCTGGCTTAAACGTCGCACTATGGGCAACTCTCTGGTGTGTTGGTCCCAGGGCGACATTGTTGAGTTAGGTTTATGCTGATCGCCATCCCCCAAGGCAGCCAGTATATAACTCCATAAAAAGCCAACAACGCTCTTAAACCCGTGCAATTGAGACGTTTTCAGCTCTTACCGCGCAGAAAATTAATTAATTGGCCGTGATTAATTATACTGGCCCGTTTCGAAAGCCGTCAAATGACAAAGAGCAAATTTACTCCGGCATCAGCTAATCGTTATGATGACACATACCGCGTGTGTGTGGGTGCGGAATTAAAATGTGAAAGGAGCAGGTAGATGAACGCAAACATTTCAACGTGCAGTTGGTTTCGTTATAAAGAGAGAGCGAGACGTGTTTAAACTGCACGGTTTTTCAGCGCGCTCAAGCCAACTAAACACACACGGCCGTGTTCTGCCGCTTTGTTAGGGGTAATCAGATTATCTCTCTCTGCACTCGCCGGTTGCCAACCCCTCACTGCCTATAGCAGTTCCACCTTTCACAATTAACACTCAATACCTCTTACCTTAGATTTATTAGCCACTCGACTCAGTCGGTGAATTGCACCGCAGCTGAATGTTTATCTTGCGCCCAATCACAGCTCGATTAATTGCTCGCTCTGACGAGCTTTAGCGGAGAATCCGCTTCTATTTTATTTATTAATCTGCTCAATTCATCCACGCGTTGAAAGATATTTGCATTCCGGCCCACCAGGTGTAATTAACGCTCAACTTCTTTGAGCAAACGACAGGTGTAAATAACCAGTTTTCGAAATGGATATGATTTTCTAGATAGACAAATATGTTCAGAATGTGTAAAAAGGGTCTTACCTGTTTTGTGACAGAGTCTATCAGCCGAACAAATATGTCTTGCTCTTGTCGTACACCTGAAACAAAATATTTACATTATATTTAAACTTATGTAATTAAATTTAATCAATTTTGTACCCTAATTTTTCAAACATTTATATAAAACAAAAGAGATCAAAATTTATGCAATTTTCATCCCCTACTTGCTTTATAATAAATTTTCAACTTTTTTACTATAATGAACATTTTTTTTAATAATTAATCTTTAGTCTCTTTTAAATAAATCTGAGACTTTATTATGAAATATTAATAAATATTTATTAGACAAATTAAATTTTATATAATTTACAATTATAAGTTCTGTAAAAAAAGTTTTCATTGGAAGAGCCTCTGCTTTTTCAATAAATTCACTCTTTTCCTATAACAATCACAGAATTCTAATTTTAATATGTTAAAGTTACAATTCACTCTTTTCACTTTGTTACATAAATTAAATTAAATTAAAACGGTTCTAAAATAAATTTTTAAATTTTTAATTATTTGTATATTGTCAAAGGAATCACTAAAAGGACTTCATATGAATTAATATATAAATTAATTAATCAATTCACTTCATCTGAGACTTTCCTCAAGTAATTACGAATTCTCTGTCGCTCTCCGAAGTTTGTGGCCTGTTTACTTCGATTTTTTATTTTCTTTCGCGTCGCAATTTTATTTTCGTGTGGCTCCTCTCGTCACTGGCGCGGCGGTTTGTACGCCGTTTTGTTTTTATTTTATGAACACGAGCGGCGTATATAAAAAGTTGAGCTTGTTGTAAACTTTTTAAGCATCTTTTGCAGCCCTGTAAGTCGCTCACTTATTTCGCAGTTAGTGCGCGCATAACAAGGGGGATAAAAATGAGGTATACAAACTGCGCGCGGAACCGCGCCGCGCACCAGCAAAAGCGAGTTATTAAATTTGCTCTGCTTTGCACGCTGCGCTGTTATGTTGACACCCTTCGTGCTACACTTTGCCTTAATTATGATGAACTGGCTTGCCGCGGCGAGGTGAAAAAGTTTAAAAATCCCTGCACATCCGCGTTTCCATGCAATTTACCAAAACATAAAAACGCCAAACTCGCAGCAGCCGCTCTCACTTTGCAAAAAACTTTAGTCAATTTAATTTTCAATTAATTTCCACCACTCGGGAACAAACTTGCAGAATAAAAAGCTAAGGACGCGGCTTTTTCAGAAAAAATCATCATGTGAAGCTAATAAAAGCTAAATATAAGATTAATTTGAGACGGTAATTAAAACAAAATTGACAATTTTCATTCATATTTAATTAAAAATTCAGAATTATAAAAATCATAAAATAAAAATAATTATCGATTAAAGAAATCATCTTTCACCAAGAATTTTATGTTTTAAGGATTTAAAATTCTATTATAAATATAAGTATAAGTAATCTAAGAAACCATAAAACAGTTTGGGATTTATCTTTTGATGGATTTTAAAATTCAATCGTCTTCAATAAATCTTTAATTTTTGAATATTGTATACATTTTTGTGAATTGATTTTTTTCCTTCAAACTTTTGAAAGCTGCATAAATAAATTAAACCAATTCCTCTCTAAAAAAAATTTGCAGGCTCAAGTAGGCTGAAATATTATAATTTACTTTAAAGGCGCATAATTATGCGTCAAAATTGAAGCCAACGAAGCAACTTAAGCTGAATATTAGAATTCATGCAGGGAAAGACCTCGGACGAAAGGGTTTTGGTGAGCGCCATGCAGATAAGACACAAAAGTCGTTAATAAAATATCCCCTAATGCCCAAACTGATTCACATCCTCTCGCAGCAGCCAAGTGATTTACCCCTTTTGCAACAAACAGGCCCAATGATGAAATATTAATTTAAGGATTAGACCGGCAGGATGGACCATAGGCAAAACTACCGGCCAACAAAACATATACACTATGCTGCTATCTCGCTACACATTAGACTGACCAGCTACTTAAATCTAGCGTAATTAACTTTGGCCCTTGTTCGGGCCGGAATTAGCCGCGCCAGCGAGGGATCAACCAGATTTTTAATGAATTTAGCCGCAAGTGTTTGAGGGGCGCCCGGGGGATTATCATATGCGTGTGGGCAGAGAGTTATAAGCAGGGACCAACTTCAAACTCGCAGCGTGGTTTATACTAATAAATTCTTTCGGCAAAAAGCAATCGAGAATTTTAAATTTTAAATCAGGGGCGGTGTATTGTCTCTTCTGCGTTAATCAAACAAAGAGTCTCTCTTTTTTCGTGTATTATATTTTTCTTGTGCAAATAGATTTTCCGTGTGCGGTTTTTTATTCTCTCTCTTATACTTGCAGGTTAAATAATTTAAAAAGCGGCGCCCCCGTACATATTTTGTAATACACCGGCGGCGGAAAAAAGGAAAAGAGTCTGCTCGGCGCCAAGAGTAATGAGAATTTGATTCCCAATGGGTTTCGCGTGCAGAACAACATGTGACGAAGTCTTGGCTTTCCGCTCTCTTTACTCATTTTCAACAATGAGAGAACAAGCGCCGTGTGCGACGTGAAACAATGTGGAATAAAAATTCGGGCCTCTCTTCATCCGTCATCAGCCAAAGACAAATAAGAAAATTAGAATGGGGACTTGCAGGCCTCCGAGAAGAAAATGTGCACCGCGTAGAGTTTAATTGCGCGTGTTAGTCTTCGCGACGATGCGCAAAATCCACAAAGCAGGGCTAATTTCGCCAGAGATTACAAAACGCGCGTCCCTTTCAAGGAATCGCTTGGGAAATTTGAAATATGGAGACGCACGAAAATTGTGACGGAGAAACGCGAAAAAGAAATTGAAAAAAAAAAATTAAACTCACCGTTGGCGTAAAGAAGCTGCAGTCTGTACTGGATTCCGTTGTTCGTCTTCTGACCATCAGCCTCCTTTAACAGGAACAACAGATGCACGTTTAAAAATTAAATATTAACAACAAACAATCAATTAGATGTTAAGATATTAATTTTAAACTTTTTAACATTAAAAAAACTTAAATTTTTATTTGTGAAACATTTGTTTTTTGATTTAATTTAATTTTAATAATGTATTATAATTATTTAAAGTATATTTATAATTTGATGGTTTATGGTTATGGATTAAGTTAACAAATAATTAATTAATATGTATATTTAATGAATAAACTGCAGGAATAATTAAACACAAGTGATAATTTACCAATATATATGTCATTCACATCTGGGTGGGAATTTTGTGTAAAACTTAAAAGATGTAATATGAAATTTAATTGATTATTTTGCTCAAAAACGGTCGTTACTATGAATTGTAATTCGTAGTTCATATAGATACTAAAAAAAAAACATCCACCTTATGTTATGTATTAAATAATTAATTTAATTGATATATTATGTAGCTCTTAAAATACTCAAATAATATTATTAAAAAATCTAAAAATAACCCTGCGTAAAAATTTTTCGTTCAAACTTTGTCTTTGTTTGTGTCTCTCAATAACCACATGATATTGAAACATATTCATAATAGTTTCGCTCCACAACTGGCCGCAATGATTCTGCGTCCGATAACGATTTCGCCGCACCGTTTCACATTTGCTTTCACTGGTTTAACCCCCTCTCTACTAATTCAGAGATGGACAGCAAGAAGCGGCTAATTGCCGCAGCTCTATGCACTGCAGAATTGATGTTTCGCAATGGCCTCTCTCTCTCTCTCTCTCTGCAAACTCGTCGGACGCTAAATGTTGCGTGACGTTTGTTTTGATGCGCGCGAATGTGTATAGAGTAGATGTACATGGCGCAGTGTAATTGGCACATGCCGTAATGCCAATCAATTGCCTGCCGCATGTGTATTGATGCGAACATGCACGTGCATGCACCGACCAACCCCTCCCCTTGTTACGTGCATTTCGAAGGGAGAAGAACTGCCTTAATTCGCACTTGATGTAATTAGCACGCCACGTGAGCCGTGACGTAATTCGCCAATTATCCGTCACTGTTCGACGGATCATCATCATGCTAATCGCGTTTCGTGACGGACCAGTTGAGGTTCAAATCCAGACTAATTCAATTCCTCTACACAACGAGTCAATTGAGAGAACAAAAAAGCTAAATTCTTAATTCTGACAATTTGAGAGAGACAAACTTTTTAAGATAAAAGAATTTTCTTATGTGCAGGAACATTCTAAATTAATTAATTTGCTAGCTTTTTTTTAGCAAATTTTATGTAGATGCTACCATTTGGTAATATCAATTAATTTTTTTTTCAATCTATCTTACATTGATATTATTTTATTTAAGTAATATTAAAATAAAGTGTGACCTCAGATATTTAATGTAAAAGATTGATTTTTTTTTAAATAATCAATCTAATTATTATTATTATATTTGTTATACTGAATTTTTTTTTTTTTGAAATTTTGATAATTGCAACAGAAAAAAAACTCACGTGATCTTTCTCGATGAATCCGATGAAGGCTGTCCTCTCGATTTCGACGGGCTGGCCTGCCCTGTCGTACAAGGCGATGACAAAGTGGAAGAAGTTGGACTTTCTCAGATTGCTGGGCGGCTGCTTTTCAAAGTGCGCCCTTCCAATGCCGACGCTGCGAACCAAAATAAAGCGCAATTAAAAGCCTGATTTAGATGCTCACATTAGAGGGAAATAAAAGGCGGCCTTTCATGTTGACAAAGGGACTGGAGGCAAGTGAAAGAAACAAATAATATAATAATACAACAACAACTCAGTGGTTTAATTTGGGCGAGGCAGCTGTTGTTTTGACTGCGCCCCGATTATTCTCCCAAATGGCGTCTCTCAAGAGTTTCTTTTTGATATTTATCGCATGTTTATGGAAACCGAGCAGAGTGACATTTCCCAGACGCTCAAAATTTGTCTGTGTGCGGTGGTCTGCGTTCCCAGGTATAGCCAGCCGCGCATAATGAGCTTAAAAACTTGTCACTTTTCCCTGCTCGTTTTGTGCGGCGCGTAAACAAGCGAAAAGCGCGGGGGCAGAGAGAATAGTTTTGCGGTGGACCGACCGAGAGAAAAGACCCTTTTCTCAGCTTTTCCACGTCAGTGATGATGGGTGCGCGCTCGGACTATGATATGCAGCCCCTTCTCTATCTCCGTGTGTGGCTACTCATGCACCCTTTGTTCCGCGAGCCCATGGGAAAAATACTCGAGACCGGCCAAATATTTTCACACGAGTGCATTTCTGAATAAATTTACCTGGCTCGGACTCATTCAGGCGCAATGCAAGAAAAGGGGAAAGGGATAATTTTGACGAAAGATTTGCCACTTACTCGGCGGGGGTGGAATTTTATCCATCGCATCTTGGTTTTTCCCACAGTGGCCTCATAATTTGGTATAATAATACAAAAAACATTTCAAACACAATCTTATAAAGGTTCTACTGGACATATTTGGAAACTCATTGTCAGGTGTTATAAAACTTATAAATTATATAGAATAGATGTATCATTGGTTTACTTAAGAGTTAAAATTTTTAATTTATCACATTTTTTTACACAGCATTAAAAAACTTTTTTAAATATATTAACTTAATTATTTTAATTGTTTTTTTATCATATATTTTAAAAATTATTATTTTGTTATTTTAAAAACCAGTAATTAATACAGTTTAAATTATGATTAATTTATATACAAAGATAATTTGCATTTTGTAATTATACTTATTTTATTATTATTATATAATAAATTCAAGCATCCATTTGCAAAGGAAGAGATTGTGGTGCCAGCAATGGTATTGATTGATTGAAGTATTGTGTATTGCTGATGAAACTTAATTTCATCGCGTATTTGTATATTGCTAATGATGAGTCAAAAGAAAGCATGAAAATTCCAATAGTGAATAGTGGGGAACCTTTTTCTGATGTAAGCGCAACAATTAAAAGTTTCCACAAAACGGATCATCCGCGTTGATAACAGGGCAAATCAATTTTTCAGCTCGGCTTCCGCTCTCTGGAATTGAATAAATTATCAAGCTCGCGGGTGGGTGGGCGCTTTGTCGTCGGCGCCCCATTTTTCATCGCGCGCGCTGCAACGAGCGGCTGAATGTACACTTTATGGTTAATAAACGAGCCGTGAATTAATCAAACGGCAGGTGAAAGAGGTGTCACCTCGTCATGTTTTAAAAATCCCACACCCGCTCCGGCGCCGCCGCTGGACGAATTCGCGCGAAAAGGGATGAGCGAGCACAGTCTGCTGATGTTTCGTTTAATAACTTTCGCCAACGCCGCGAAAATTTATACATATACGAGCAGCCGCGATACATTATATGTTTCGTCTCTGAGCAAATAATACGGTGGCTGCTCATTCCATTATCTGCTTTGATGTGACGCTTTTGCCGACAATCACACGTGCGCGCATTTTTTGACGTTTTCCCAGGCAATTTCACGTTCTTCTTGTTTGTTTTTCCACGCCAATTCAGTCAATTCAACAGATAAAAAATCGCTTTGTTTCATTCTGTGAAACAATTAATTACACTACCTTTTAAATTCTTAAACAAAGAAGGATAATTTTCTACTATTTTTTTTTAAACATGCAAATAGCCTCTAATTGATTTTTTTTCTATAAGATAAATTATTATTATTTATTCTTGTCAATTGTAAGACAAAATATTTGTTGATTTTTGAAAATAGCTCTTGCGAGATAGTGTCCGTCCATATAGACTAAAATTTGATTTTGTTTACAGGCCGAGATAGAAGAGGAAATAGAGAAGCGAGTGAACATGGCTGCTCGACAAGAACCTTTTTCTCTCTTTTTTGTCGTCAACGTTTCTCCTTCGAGATGACCAACAGAAAATAAAAATGCCCTCTGCACGTAAGAAGTTTGAATAATCTCCAGGGAGCTTGTTTGTAGTTTGTATCGAGGACGCAAAAGGCTATCTGGCTTCTTGGATCAAAGTTTTGATCAAAACCCGTCGCTCTCCTCTCTAGGAAAAGCTGCTTTCAACACAAAAAGCTCACCAAAAGAAAATAAATTTATACCTAATAAGCTTTGAAATTTGTCGCAAATCTTTCAAACTTTTTTCCATATAAAACTCCGCTCGCTTCAATTAACGAGCGGCAATAAAAAATACTTTTCGGGCCGTCCAATAAATTCGAATATGAAATTTATTTGCCAAACTGCGTTGTAATTGACTGCTGTTTTGTTCAGTGAAGTACGGAGGGCAGTTTTATTGGCAGGTTTTTGAGCGCGTGTGCGGGTGGGCGATAACTCAAAAATATTTCCAGAGATCAAGCGGACGCTGCTTTGACATTTATTTGATTTCAGTTGGGTGTATATCAAAACGCGGCTCGAGGGATTTGCTCGCGTCCGTCCAACGATAATTCACAACGCTTGGCTGAATTAAATAATTGTCATTTAAATCAACTGGTCCGCGATCAAAATTGCATGACCAAAGCTTTTAAATGGACCCGATCGCAAATTTATTGTTTTCCAACAGTTGCAAAACTTGTGAAATTGAGCATTTGACAATAATATAAATATATTATTTTGAAAATGATGATTTGGACGTGCTCGTTTCGCCGGTGCATTTGGAGCAATTAGAGCGAATCATTTATGCTTTAATGAACTGTGCGTATTATCAAGTTAATCCAGTAATAATTGAGTGCTCGGCAGTGAAGATAAAACCCTCTTTCCAAAATGGTTTCGCGTTTTCATTAGCAATACAAACTAATGGAATTCGGTACTAAATTACTTTGTGGAGAGGAAAAATTTTGATATAAAGGGGGACAGTTTGTCGATTTATTTCCTATTTTTTTTTCTGGGAGAAATACAAGACTTGTGAATTTTGTATGAATTTCAAAAAGTTGTCACTGAATGTAATTCATTCTAAAATTTATTTTTGCAGACTTTAAATTTTGAGAATGTAAAAGATTGATTATATATGTGGTTAATGTGGTAAGTTCAAATTAATAAAATTAACCATAAACACTTATATATTCAATTTTTTTATACATTTTATTCCATACTGTAGCAAAAATGTTCCCCTTTTTGAAAATTATTCTAGATGCTTCTATTTTTTTATAACAGCATATAAATTGCCCTTGCATATATTTTTTATGCCAAATAAGATCAGTTTCTTGCGATAAATAAGTTTGTATATTTATACGTGATTCAAGAATTTTTTTTTTAAATTTTTGAGTTGTATTGTTGCAAGAATTGCTTTATATATACTTTTTTTTGATAAATTTTCTTAAGTAAACAGTTCAGAGCATAATTGATATATGAAATCAAACTCCAATTATTAAGCATTTATAAAATTATATCAACTTATTCCACACGTTCTTATTTGATTTAAGGGCTGAACAGTTTTTTATTTTGAGTTAAACATAGGTACAATTATTTTGATTGATGTTGATCTTAATTGGAGAGATTTTGCAACGTTTTTTCAACACTCAATTTTAAATCAGCCACTCAATTTTCCAATAATATTTCAATCAACAACCGCCTCTGGCACCAAAACATTCGTTCGTGCTGAATGTCAACACCGGATAAAATGGAGCAAATCTCGTGGGGCTCTTTTCAGGGGTGCACCTGGGCAATCGGTACTCACCTGCTTTGGTCGACGACCGGCGGCGCCATCCACCTGGCGGCGGTCAGTTGTCCGGCGGACCCGAGCGGCTCCTCCTTGAGGCCGGTGGCCATGCTGGGGCCGCGCGGCTGGTGGTGGTGGTGGATGTGGTGGTGGTGGAGGCCGGCGGCCGCGGCCGCCGCGTCCTGCAGGCCGAACATGAGTCCCGACGGGGCGGCCCCCCTGGTGCCCTGCTGGTGGTACAACTTGGACCAGCAGACAGGGCCGGCGCCAGTGCCAGAAATGTCCTCCAGTTTTGAGCCGCGGCAACGCACTGACTGCTGAACCGAAAACGACGACGAGCACGCTGCTGTTGCTAGTGCTTTTCCAGTAGTGGTGCGCTTTTCCGGAAAATTGGCGGCACCAGACGGAGAGATGGAGTCACTTTCCTGAGCGGCGAGAGAGTGCGGGCGCTCCGGGGGTCGACGGGCGAGCGAGTGAACTCGGCGGCGCTGCTGCGCGAAAACCACCCGCCCGCCGCGCTATATAGTTGAGGGTTGCGGAGGAGTGGCTTCACCCATGACTCCCTCTTGCCCTATGAGGGTGTACACTTGAGAGACTGCGCATTGCGCGCCCCACTGGGGACGCTAACCTATGGAGGCCGCGCCGCCCGTGAACGCCTATCACCAGGGAGCGTTACGCTCTAAACGAGCCAATGAGGATTGATGTCGGGGGCCGACGGCCGTCGCCAAAGCGCCGACCCCGGCCGCGCCGCCGCTCCAGTCGGCCGAGCACGTCCTCCAGAGGAACACGTCCGGCCGCGCGGCCCCCAAGGCGATGATTTTTACGACGGAAACGGCGCCAGACACGAGCGCCGAAGGATGAATAAAAATATGCTGGCAATTCATATACTCTGTTTTTTTTCCCACGCTCAAACACCTCGCAATTCTCTCAGGGCGGATGAATCTTTCTAGGCATGAAGAAGGACGATTTTTTTTATTTTACTTGGAAGAGAAAATTAATTCAAAGAAATACAAATAAATAAAATAGGAATTAAATGGAATATATATAAATAAATTGGAAAATTTTTCAATTGACATTTCCATTTCACATATTTATCTTCAACGTTCGTGTTTGTAATGATTGAACAGAAAATTGAAGCAAAACAATAAATTTTCAATATTTAAAATGTTTGTTTTCCTTCAATAGTGGTTCTTTTTAAAGCCTTAGAACATTATATAGCTGGGATGAAGAATGAATTTAGTTATAGTTTTAAGGTCTGTTTATAAAGTAAAATTGAAAAAGAGCCAGGAAATTAATAACAACAGAACGATTTATGGAATATATTGAAGATAATTTATCCTGATTTATTTGCAGCTTCAAACTGTTTTAAATGAAAATCGTAAGAAACTATTTTCACAATTTTCATAAAATGAGACTTTGTTTTTCAACTCCACTTAATGATTTCAATCAATTGATCGTCCAGAGGGTGTCTCCTTTGATATTCCAAATTAGCCTTCCGTAATTAAAACTTGTGTATATTTATTTAAATTTTCATGACTTTTACTTGGCGAAATTCCCAGAAGAACAAAAATAATTTTGTATTTTACATTGCACGAAATATAGATCAATTACATCTCTCTGTGTCTTTTCCTTGCTTTCATAGGCAACAAAGTGTACCGGTGGGCACTGCCAGTTGCATACGCTGCGAATCTGCAGGCGCATATTTAAATGTACATTTTAACGAATTGCTCGGTGTTTGTGTAATTTTTATTTGCCAACTATAGGTGGTGCGGTCACGAATGCGCTTTGAATTTAATTAAACGCATCGCGGTAAATGATTCTAATTTGTTCCACGTCATTGAAAAATCCATATAGTCGCGGGCTGCATATATGCTGTGCTCGGGACACAACGCGTGTGACGTCAACACGTCACCAATGAAATCACACTCGTGGGATGGAGCCGCAGCATAATCGGTCCGCCGCTGAGCTGCAAATAATATAAAATGCCTCGATGTTTGCTGGAGTTGAAAAAGCGATTAAAAATCAACCGATTTCACCTGCAAAAAAAAAAAATATGCAACGCGTTCCAACTTGAATGGAATTATCTGGGGGAGAAAATTGCGTCTTTCGGAGAGAGGGTGACTTATATTTCAGTCACATATTAAATTGGTCCAACGAGCTGAAGCAACCGGAACAAATTAAGAGTCGGCCGCCGGAGTAAGTTACTCCTTTCTTGCTCGCTCGCTCTCTCACTTTTAATTTAATCTGCGCACCCCTGTAGCATCGCAGAAAATGGTTCGGCGAGAGAAAGATCGGTGCAAAGAATTAAACCCGTCTGCTTAATATTCTCTTCGTGCGCAATGCGACTGCAATGCAGGTTTTATGTTTCATCCTATTCTGAGCGAGTAGTTCTCTCTTCAATCGCTCCTCGCCTCTGTATATAAAGTTAAAAGCAGCGGGGCTTTGCGACGAGAGCATGTGTGTGTGGATATTTGCAGTGATTCCACCTTCCTTGATGAATTATGGACGAGTCCGCAGAGAGGGTAGATCGATTTGTCGTTCATTAAAATTTAAAGCAATCGAGTTTTTTTTTCATCAGCTCAACGGCCCCTTTTTTAACATAGTAATTTTTAATTCGCACGTTTTTTCCATCCCCGCTGCTATTTGTTATTTCCGCTTTTTTTTTATCAGTCATGTTTGAATCTCGTCTGGTTTTCCATTTAAAAAAGCACCTCCCGCTAAAACGCTGTTTATTATATAATACGCGGCCGGTCGCTAATGCTCTGCTCGTTTGAGCAAAGTCGGACAAAAATGCGCCGCGCCGGCAGATTTGTGCCTGTTAAAACCTCCCTCAGTCCCCGTATGGGTATCACCACTTAATTTCCCCACAGGAAATATTTCCACCCGCCGCTTTTCATGCTCAAATTGATGCTGCTGGAGAGAGAACGCGATTTAAAAAGTCATTCCGCATTTACTGTCATCATGATGTTTTGTGAATTTTTATAAACTCTACGCTTCCAATTCCAAAGCCCTTCCCTTGCATAAATAACACGTCATAAACTTGTATACCTTCTTTAAAAATAATTTTGTACAGGGAACTTAACATTTTAAAAACTTTCAAAAATTTCCACAAATTTATTTAGCATGATATTTTGACTTTAGTATGTAATATAATTTAAGCTATTACATAACTGACAGACAATTAACACAGTTTTTGCATACGTGCTGTGTGCAGAGAGATTTTTAAATATAATATTTTGTTAGTCTAGTTTCTCTTGAAAATTAAAAAAGAAAACAATAAGTTTTTTTTTCATAAAATTTTAATTTTATATAATTTTTACACAGTAATTTTTTCGGTTTTTTCGTAAAATTAAAATGTTTTTCTTCTTTGGTAGTGTGAGTGCCTGCGTTATTGCAATTTTTTGTGTAGAGTATAGTGTCGTATTTGGGAAGCATTTTTTTTTAAATTTTTGCTACAAAATTTGTTGTATTACAAAATAATACAAAATATATCCTAAGAGTTGTTAGAATTGTTCTGGCCAAATATAAAATATTTTTTTTTTAATTATTGTTTTAACAATAATTTTATAATTATAAATACAGCCCATTTTATCCGATGACATTGAATATCTGAGGATTAGACATCCATAGAATGCGAAAACTCTGGTGAGTTAAATTATAAATTATAATTGTATGTGGAAGTTTATACGTTACCAAAGTTCTGAAAAACTTCTTGTGCGCCATCACAATGTTTGAAGTTGGCGTTCTGTTCCAACCACACAAATATATACGTTTTAGAATATAACGGGCGCGGGCCGACTAGAAGTGGAACTCCGTGTTGAGATTTGCAAAAGCTCCCAGAGCTGTTTGGCCAATCAATCACTGCTTACATTCACCACATGCAACTCCCAGCACAGCCAACTTGATTGCATTTATAAAGTTCGGCAGCCGCATACGTGGTTGAATAAGAGACACAAACCACCACTTTCGATGTAAGCGAATTTGCATATATGAAGTTGTATTTAATTTGAATTAAATACATACACAACGTATTGAACAAAAAAGTTTTCAAAAATATAATTTTATTTTCATTTTAATGTTTTAGAAAGAACAAAAACTTGAAAAACTATTCGCTCTAATAACTGGCATATTTTTTCTCTCCGAATATGCAACTTCGAAAGGAGCAGGAGGAACATCAGAGTATGCGGCGGTTCCGCACACAGAGAGGGATGTGCGGTCCCCGAAGAGCACGAGAAGCAGAATTCACGACCTCAAGGTTATGACAGCATTACGACTTAGCCACCTCGATACCAGTAAAAAGAAAAATAAACGTATATTTTGCATTTACTCCACTTTGAATGCGCAGCTTAAATTTATATTTATGTGTCACCCTGCTTTTTATCTGCCGAGACTGGCTTGCTGCGTGCGGGATAATAGAAAAGAGCTCGCGCATAAAACAGAGGGATTTTTTATGTTGAGCCCCAACATAAAGCACCGCCGCCTCCGGGACAGCCAATACACACACAGGGGCGCTGAATTTTTCATCGAGCATCCGCGCCTCACAAGCTCAGGAGATATCCACAGGCAGGAATCTATAAAATTGAATTCAATGGTAATTCTATACCATGTATCTTAGAACACTTAACGCAATTATTAAATTTTCCTTCAATTATAAAATTCAATTTGTCGTTTAACAAACTAATTTCAACTTACGTGCAAAATGTTAATGTTTTTTGGTGTTTTTATTGTTTTTTAATAACAATAAGGCATTATTCTTGATTCTTGTGATTTTTGTACCAGTCGAGAAATTTTCCTCATTGCAGAGACTTAAATTTTTGTTAAACTAATGTTTCAAATTGTATTCTGTGTAAGACAAATAGTAAATGAATAAAATTATTATAGGTCAGTAACAATAAGGCATAATGTTTTTTATAATTATAAATTACTTTTCACACATATATCTTAATATAACATTTAAAATTATGATTGTCTCAATTTGGATACTTTTGTGTTAAATAAAACCGTAACAGCTATTTTCATTGATAATAAAATCAATAATATGAACATTCTTTGCTCTTTATTTATCTTCAATAATTAAAATGGAAGAGATTGAAAAGATATTAAGTTAGGACCTTTCGCATACAAAGAATTCAAATAAATATTGCTTAAAAACTGGCATTTTCCCCTCCTGTATGTATCAAGACAATTTTCAAAGTCTAGTCTCCCACTTGGTCTGTAAATTCAACACAACTCAATTTTTTATGCAAGTCACGACGTAAACAAAGCAATTGTTGAGCGTTGCCGTGGCTTAACAAACTATAGACCTCTTCGCACAAAAAGCGAGTTTCTCGCAGTGATAATTTCCTTGACAGGGCAACAAACAAAATGGGCCTTGCTAGCTCGCTCAGGTCGTTTTTCTCAGGTAGATACAAAAAGGCCACCCAGGAGACGCATAAAAAGCGTGTAATGTGCGCGCTTCTGGAGTGTCAAACTCATTCAGCGATGATTTACGACGAGCTCGGAATTTAAACTATGCATGCGCGAGAGCGAAATGTACATTTATAATAATGAAATGGGCTGTTAAATAATAATAGAGTGCGGGCGGCCGGGCGCGTAGTTTGCATAAATAAATATACATGCATAGAAAGAGCGATGCAAATGACACGCGAGGTCGCGCTGCTGATTAAAGGATAAATATTTATTGGCCCGGACGCCGGTCTGTTTGTATCGGTATTATGAATAAAAGTAATTTAACACGCTCGGCGCCGCTCTCGGGCCAATCGGAAATAGATATGGAATTTATAATCACCCTTTATACGCCGCGCCGTTATATTCCGGCATGTTTTGAAATAACACAAACACGCGCCCGCCGATCACTCTCTCATGTTTGTTGCAAAACAAAATTAATATTATCACGCGCGGCATGTGTGTGTTTGCGGTCCCAATAGGCGTTCGCGCCGCGCTCGACGCTTCGCTCCGACTCTCAACCCTTCCGGTGTCCGCTCTCAATATGCTCCCCGTCTATGCTTTGGCAAATAATTTATTTATTTATTTTATTTATTTATTTATTCTCCATTCAGATACATGAAATACACAATATTTAATATGAAATTATTAAAAGAACAGTAAATTCTGGAAATTTATTAAACGTAAGATTAAACGTAAAAATTAATACAAATTGAGAACAAGAAACAGAATTAATTAAAACACTTCCGCCTTACATTAAGTCAGATACTATTAATCTATTCAGAGGACCACATTCAAACAATTCGAAGCTATATTTAAAAAGCTACCCAGAAGCCCAAGTGTCATTAAGAAAATATAAAAACTCAAAATGAAAATTATCTATTGTTCCAAAATAATTAGCACTTAATTAAGAAATAATTTAACTTCCAAAAGAAATTTAACTGAACGAGAAAATCAATGCTCGGAAAACAAATTAAATTGTCCAAATTTCAACTTATTTTGCTGTAAATCTTATTTTTTTTTTTTTTTTTGCTCAATCACGATTTCCGTTTCCTAAATTATTAATTTACTTCATTTTGCATATTATTTAAATATTTAAAATTATTTCTGTTCAATTTGATCATATTGAGCATTTATTTTTCTTTCCAATTTTCATTTTGATGCATAATGCAGTCATTTCAATGGTAACAGTCGAGGTGGATTTCATGAAAAATTGAAAGTTGGCGAACCTCATTACAAGGACAAAATTATTTGCAACAAACTTCGCCCAGTTTAAATTTTTCAAAAATAAATAGATCTTAAATATTTCTAAAAATACAAACATTTATTAATAACATATAGTTCCCTTCAGAAAATCATCAATACGATAGAAGATTGAAACAATAAAAGTAAAGATAAAAACCCTGAATTTTAAACTCGGATGGTTTTGATTTCAAACAATAAGTAAATTGGATCAGTTCATTTCGATGGCAATTTTCTTCATAGTTGCCCTATCTACCTTTCCTCCTTTCGTAATTGGCAGTTTTTCCACAAACCTGACGCCGCCGTGCAAGTGTTTGTAAGAGATCAAGCGTTCGGCCACAAAGTCGCACAATTCTTTCTCAGTAACTTCTCCCTTTCGAACCACAAATGCCCTGGCCACATTGAAGCAGTCAGGGTGATGTAGTCCGACCACCACCACTTGAATAACGCCAGGGTGCTTTTGAAGTACGTTTTCAATCTCAGTAGGGGAAATCTGTTCATAATTATTTAATAAAGTATAAAATCAGCAAGTAATACTTTTTTGATGTTTACTAACATAGGTGTGAAAGTATTTGAAAATGAAGCTCAGCCTCTCCGTGATGAAAATATGTCCATCCTCGTCGAAAAAACCAATGTCACCAGTGCTATACCAGCCGTCTTTGTCAAAAGAGGTTTGCACTGGCTCAAGAGTGTCCTTAGACAAGTAGCCTTTCATGACTTGGGCGGATTTTACTCTTATTTCACCCCTTTTCCCAGGTCCAAGACTCTCGCCAGTGTTAACGTCTACAACCTATAACTGTTTATAAGAGATTAAAAATATCCAGACAAATAATTTTACTTTGGCCAGCATTCCATGCGTCAATTTCCCCGATGATACCCATTGATCACCTTAATAATATAATGAATACCCTAATGCCTCATAATTTGTAAAACTATTTAAATTTTACCATCGTTTTCTTTAATTACCAATTTTGGCACTCTCTCTGTGTTTGTCACTACAGCACACTCCGACATTCCATACAACTGCAAATCAAGAATTATAATTATAAATAGAGGAAACAATCGCTAAAAAAAATTATCTATGGTCGTATCTAGAATCAATAAAAATTTAATTCAAGCCTGATTTTGTTTTTATTTATTTTTTTCACATTCAAATTTCAAGCAAAATATTTAATTTAAATTGTTATTTTCCACTGAGGCCGCATCATAATTTTTTATAATGTAGTACATAGCAAAATTATATAACTTGACGCTAATAATCTTGTGTGGCAGCAGCAATTTTACTGTTTAATTTTCTTGTGATAAGTGATCACGAGGTTTTGCCGTTTCCTCGCGTTTTGTTTATTGCTCTTTTATTTTGACTCGACTTGTGAATAATAACAATACTTAATTATTATTATTATTTATTCTTCACAAATCAAGTCATGAAAAAAAATACTTATTTATAAATAATATCATGCAACTTTCACTCATTAATAAATATATTATTTTACCTGTTTTATTTGCACGTTTGGAAATTTTTGGTAGAGAATTTCCATGGTAGTTGGATCAATGATTCCCCCAAAGCACAAGATAGCCTTAAGAAAACTCAAGTCAGTGGTGGCCAATTTATCGTGTCGAGCGAACCAAGTTGCAACAAATGGATACATGACCGCAGTGGCTGGCTGAAGTGAGATTTTATTTAGAAAATTGCGTAATAAATTGATTGTTTACGAATACTTTGTATTTCACCAAGTTATTGAAAAAATCCTCTCTTTCAAATTTCCCAAGATGAAAGACGAGGGATCCGTTGGCGATTGAACCAAGAGTGACCACGAAAGCGCCTATGGCAAAGTTGCTCATTGGGGTCATGAAAGTATCTTGGAAGTAGTTGATGATCCTACAACGAATTTTTGTGTTTGTTAAATACTTATTCTTTTATTATTTTTGTGTACTCTTTGTGGAAGATAAGGGCAATCATCGATCTGTGGGTGTGAGCGGCTCCCTTTAGCACTCCAGTGCTGCCGCTTGTATTAGCGGCAAAAGTAATGTCGTTTGCATCAATCTTGACGTTTTCATGAAATGCTATAAGTATTTTTTTTTTTTAATTTTTCGTATTTTTTTTTTATAATTTTTTTTAATTGTCTTTTTTAATTTTACCTGACCCATCGTCATTGAGCAATTCATCAAAAGTGATTGCACCCTCAACGCTATTTTTGCTAAACACAATTAGCCGAATTGGTTTGTCCAATTGAGCGATTGCCTCTCTAAGAAGTGGCAAAGTTTCCTCATCACCCAAAATAAACCGTGCTTTTGCTTCAATATTTTGGCGGGCAATTTCACCTGTAATTAAAGTTTTATCTAAACAATATGCTTGTTGAAAATATGATCACATACAAGGATCATTGCATAAAAAATAAATAATCATAATACATTAAGATGGTAAAAATAATTTTTCTTTTGATTCTAGGGATGCTTATTTTAATGATATACTTGGTAGTTCATTTTGAAAAGTGCCTCTGACAGCGCCGCCTAGTCTCCAAACGGCAAGTTGAACTAGATAGATTTGGGTTATTTCGTAGGTAACAAAATGCAAAACGTCGCCCTTTGCGAAACCGAGACGGGTCAGAGCGCTTGCGATCTTTCTTGATTTTGGCTCAATGTCGCAGAACGGAACTTCAGTGCCTGTGCTTGCGTCGATCTAAAATCAATTGGATAATTTTAGTTCTTACAATTGGATGCTCCATAATAAAATTAGCAACAAAATAGTGAGATTTCTTTATAGTCTAAACTATTCATTACTTGATGCAATTTACATTGTTATGAATGCAAATTTAAAGAAAAAGTATAATATAATTAATAACAAAAATCATGAATTTAAGAGAAAAATTGCATTTAGAAAATCTTACCAGCCAGGGTTTGGTAGATTTTTCCATCTTCGCCTGACACAATCTCTTGTACAGATAATCAAAAATAGATTCATTTGGCAAGTCTTCCTCAGCATCTTCATATGGTGACTTGTAAATGTGCTCCACTGAATTTATTCAAAGTCATAACAGAAAAAATAAGGATGAAACATTATACTTATTCCAGCCTTATGAGATAATATTGGACGCCTATCAACATCTGGCAGCGGCGCACTTTTTGCACTGGCCTCTATGAAGCTTCAGCCGACGTTTTTATCAACTTATCTCGACCTTGAGGAACCAACGAAATGATGGGGATTTTTTATTGAACTTTGCCCTGAAGCTCTGATTATATATACAATAATTTAAGCTTACTAAAACCTTTTATAAGATGTGGCCATTACTGATAAGAAACATAGGGTAGTTAAGTTGAATGTGCTGATAATTTTTATTGGAATTCATAACAAAGCGTGACGATGCGAGAAAAATAACGATGCAAAATTTAACTTCCAATGTGTTGCAGAATGTAAATTTTAAGTCAACAAATATAAATAATCTGATTATTTCAGTTTAAGGTCATGAATAATTGATATATTGTTTATTTTATTAGGCTTACTCAACGATTAAGTTTTCATTAATTATCATTATTTATAAATTCAATTAAGCTTCACTTTTTATCAACATTCAAATTCCATGCTCTTGACTAAAACTATTATTGTAATAAAATCTAAAATTAAAATATAAATTTCCACTTGTATTGCATTTTGGACGTTACAAAATTATAAGATTTTTATGATTCAAGGAAGGTGAAAAAAAAAACACTAAACAGAATAAAGATTTCTTCGTGAGCTTGTCATGACATCACAATAAATAATATAACTATAAATATAAATAAATGAAAATTATATAATTACAAAAGTTTTTTCAGATATTGAGATGTGTGCGCGTCGCTCAGGTGGAAAATGACATTACGAATGCAATGAAAAGTTAAATAGTAATTAAATTCAAATTGGAATTGCGCGTGACACATGCAGGGCGGCCGTCGGGAGCTGCTGGGGCTGCGCGGATGAGAGAGAAAGAGAATATAATAAAGGCGCGGCGGCAGCGCAAGCGGGTAGCATGATGTGTAAATATTTCCATCTGGGTGGATATTGGCACGGCAATATAAGTAAGGTGGATGTAACGGGGGTGGAAGCGACGATAGTGGCCCCCAAGGGTGAAATCTCAGCTTTGCAGACGTAGCTATTTCGACATGGAATTACAACGCGCCGCTCACACACACACACAGATAGCTGCAGCCCAGCAGCAGCCTAAGGCCTCCGAAGCTCTCGCACTCCATAATGCACTTTTTCCATATTGTGTTTAGATAGGACGCGGGTGGAAAGGAGAAAAGCGAGATAGAGGCCCTTTTTTACACGGGGTCACAGCAGCTGATTTTCGTTTTGCTCAGTTTTATAAGCTTGAAGTTGAATTTTTATTTGAATTGAAAAAAAAAACGGGGTTTGTGCAATTTCAATAAATTATATTGATTTTTTTTTCATTGATAGGCCTGTTTGTTTTATTCCTCTTTTTAAATTAGAATGTATTTTTTATGCAAGGAAATGCCTATTTTATAACTTTTTCAGTAACTGAAGTGACATTTGATTGGCTTCTTACATTCGTATTTAATTAGTTGGTTTATGACATAGGGCATAAACTAAGCCACATCCAATTACATTATTGATTATCATGATGGTATTTTTGGAATTAATTTCCAATAATATTCCATTTTTATATAAAATTCAAGCAAAATAGGTTTTTAATAAACTGTTAAAATGCACAAACAAAATAACAAAATATTAATAACCCCCTAGAAAAATAACACCTAAAATTAGTATAATTTATTTAAAAATCATTTAAAAAATAATTAAATATAAAGTAATACAAAAAAGATTTTTAATTTCAAATACTATTATTTAAAATGAAAAATAATAAATATTTAATTAGCACTTTGACTAAACGCCTTTTTTTATTAAACTATGCATAATTATTTTTTTTAAGCAATTCTATGTATTCATTGACATCATTTGGCATGATTCTATGATACCATACTCTGGGTAGGTCACTCATTTGCAATTTTCTAAGAAAATATTAAAATCTGTGTCTCATATATCAATATTGTAAATTATAAATTTTTATTTCTTATTTACACCTGCAGGGAATAATTCTCGATCTTCAAAAAGAATCAGAATTTTGCATTTCAAGTGCTCTCTGTGGGGCGGAGACACGCCTCTCGCTCGATCCCTGGGCAACGGTGGTGCTTTCGCTCTATTGAACCAGAGAGATTCGCCCGTTCTCGTTGAGGCAGGCGCTCGCGTTCACCTCGGCCACCAACGTCTTTCCCAACACTCGATTTCATCATTTAAATCACAACAACAATTTTTACTCTGCAGCCTCTGCGAGAGAAACAAAGAGAATTTTCGTGATCATATTCTTTGAAAATTCCAAAGTTTAAACTTTTAATTAAATACCTTTGAGATTTTTTCTTACTTTTTTAGAAATTAAAAATAAGCTAAAAATGTATTATTAAGTTCAACATCAATTCCAAGACTCGATTCCAAACAAACTTTTTGCAGCGTGCAGGTGTTGCGTGCGTTAATAAACTGCACGCGTGCAACAATCGCCGTTTATATTGGGGCACCTCAAAGCACTGCGCGTTTTACGAGCCGACGGCAGTGACCGTAAATTTTATGGTTTGGTCATCAGCCATTTAAAGTGCAACTCCGCCCCTGTGCATCGGCTGCAGCACTAAAAAAAAGCATGCAGCAAGGGCGCCGAAAAAGACCACTTATTCTTGGAAAGTGTATTAAACACAGAGCCTGGACGACAACAAGTTTTCTTTCCCAATCACTACGTTAAAAAATTGTACGGTTTCTCACCAAATAATTGCATAATATGCATAATTTATATATTATATAAAAATATAAATGTGACTCTTTGATAAAAATTTTCCCGTTCACCGCTCTAGCTCAGTGAGAAGGTTTGATTTGGCTGCCAATTCTCTCCCAATGCGAGTTTTTCATTTCTTGTTCGACTTATTGCGAGAGAATAAATTAATTGAAAAATATACAAAAAAAAAATACAGTTCTCCTATATCATTCCTATACATACGTTAAGGTTCAATCGTTTATAATTAAAATATTAAAATTGCAAATTAAAATCCCACTTTATTTTTGTTTTTATTTATGACTATATAGAGAACTGAATGAGCACCAAGATTTGCTAATAAACTATGTATAGATAATTTGGAATATTGCAGCTCAAAAGGAAAAAGCGACCAAGGAAATGGAAAATGCGTAAAACAATTCAGGATCGTGGAGGTTCAAAAAGTAAATTGTTTAAAAACAATTTATCTGATTTACTATCATTAGTTCTTCATTCTGTCTTAATAATGTCTATAAATTGGAAATTCATTTTCTTTTACTGTGTAAATAATTAAAATTATTTATTTTATTTTCTAAAACAGTTTGTAAATTTCGCTTAAAACTTATACCAGCACATTCCTTGGAAATTTAAGCATACACCACGCTTAAGCTGGAGTTTAAAATGTAATATCAAAAATTTGATGGCCATGCAGGGAATGTTAATCATGGTTGAGCATGTAGATATAGTCGGGTGCTTTTGTTGACGAGAGAGTCGCATGCTCGCCATAAAAGGGAAGACACACACAAATTCACTTTGCCCGGCAATAAAATTGCAATATTTCGCGGCGCAGACACGCGAGACAATGAAAGCAAATTGCCCATTTTGTGCGGAATTTCATTACACGGCGTTGCTCTCTGTAAAAAGGCTCTCTCGAATGACATGCACGGCACATAAGGCCGCCGAATACACAAAGTATAACAAGAATAATTTGGCGCACTCAACGTCGGACTTTAGTGCCGCTTTGGCGCGGCGGCCGTTTTTAAATAATTGATATTACGGCCGCGTGTGCACTTTTGTTATAGTTAAAATGCAATTGCCAGTGTAATAATAGGTGTGTAGCGCGGCGAGCTTTTCCAATGGTTCCCAGGTTGATCGTGCCGAGGTAAAATGGGTCATTAACCTTCGGTCACTGCCGCGTGACCTCTCTCTCTATTGTGCGCCTTTCTGCTGCCGCCGACGCCACCGCCGACCACCACCGCTACTCAATTAAACGGAATTTCGCGCCCCTCGCCGCCAATACACGTTTAGTGCGCAACTTAAAAATTCTTTCATTAAAACTGCTCCTCGGAGGGCAGCCGTCCAGCAACGGCGATGATTTAATCATTTGACCCTAGACCAGCAGCCTAGCTCAATTCTCTTTATTAGCAAGCAAAAACAAAATTATTATTTGAAATAAAATAAAAGAATTTTTTATAATAATTATTGAATTTGTTCTGTATTTCAAATTTTTTTTGATCATTTTTAAAAATTATAGCAAAATTATTTTAAAAATTATAATTTTTTAAATTTGCAATGATGACTGATATTCTTATAAAAATCTGAAAATAGGTTTCAATGTTAATATTATTTTTATTATTAAATTACGTTTTTACTTAATTAATAAAAAATTATTCTTCTTGTCTCATGATTTGTAATCAAATTGAACTTTATATAAATAAAATAAGATTGTAACACAGATGATTGTAGAAATATTTTCAGTTGCAATTGTAAGAGTCATGTAAGCTAACAGGCTGGTAGCTTTGAAATAATAATGCAGAGCCACAAAATTACCAAATGTCGATTGAAAAGCATTAAAAGTAATAAATTTCGTCACTTATTTGAATTGAGAGTGTTGATCCCGCAGCAGTCAAATCAGCAATTACACACAGAAGGACTCGCGTGCATATAATAAATTTAAATGCACCCAATTCAATCAGCCGTGCAGCAAGTTGAACAAAAGCAAATTCTCTTTTTCGAATGCCAAACATTTGCCCCTTTAACTGATTAGCATAAAAAAGAGTCTCTCTCGTTTTCAGACGCGACCAGCTGATTTTTAATGGCGAGCCATCAAGCCCTCGAGGGTCGTGTGTTTGGATGTGGCCAACTAAGAACAGATGGGGTGGTTTACGTGAGCGGGGTGCTCACCCCTCGCTGCTCCTTTCAGGGGTGCGGTACACGGCGGTGGCGCGCGACGATCACAGTTTTGATGGGCCGAGCTTTTTGCACGCGCCGCTTTTTTTATTTTGCAGCGTTTTCAAATGACAATGGCAATCAGCCCAGAGACACACACGGA